AAAAAATGTTATAGTTATCCTTATTGTACGTGAGAAAATTCAATAATATAATGATGCGGATCTTCGCGGACCACTTCGTGAGCCTTCAGAGACCACCAGTGGTCCAAGGACCACCGGTTGAGAACCACTGCTCTAAATAGAAGGGCATTTGAAAAATAGACACAACAGAGAACAAAAGGTAACAGTGCACTAACGAGGCATTTCATTACCGTTACCGTGGAAAGGCGGCGTCCGAGATAAGCAAAGTGACTCACATTTTCCGCCGTACAATAATAACAAAGTTTTCTAACATTCTTCGGCATTATGTGTTTGTTGTTCAAATATTTTCACCCGACTTCAAAACAGGAGGAGGTCCTCAATTCGATTGTATTTTATGTGTGTTACCCATCGATCACTATGGTGTTACCTTAGATAGATAGATGGATAGATAGATAACACTTTATTGTACGCCAAAAAATAACAAAAATATTAACAAAAAAAAATGAGAAAAAGAAATGCGGTACAACGGGCGCTCTTATCGCCCGTTGTTTTTGGTATCCTGGTATTAATAAAAATAAACTTTCAAGAAAAAGCCCACTTCTAAGAACAAATAAATTAAATAATTTTACATTCTGAAGTAGGTGCTAAAAAATAGGAGTATCTCAATGTCGTCTAAATGGATACGGAAAGTTAGGTACCTAACTACAATATGAGGTAAGAACATGTTTTCCAAAATTTTATAAATGTGCTTTTTGTGGCAGTTGAGCATTGTTCAATCACCACTATTTTAAGTATTCCAAGCATTAATAAGTATATTATGCTAAAAATGTTCGTGCCATGCATAATATAAAATGATAAACATCTAAAAAACCATAACTTCGCCTAGTGTATAATCTATTGAATAATTAATTTAAAAAAAAACAAATGATAAAGAAACCCCCTCTGATATATACAAAAGTATGACTCAACCCTCCACACTTACATTGCACTTTGTTGTCCCTAGAAACCAACCAAAACAAAACTTCGAAGGTTGGGGTGTCACGCGTCACTGGGCGTCACCACCTGATACTTTTCTTCAACGCCTAATGGTGCAATCAAATATGGACTTTATTACAAGGGACAATACAAAGCTACACACGTGATAAACGCAGTCTAACTGTATTTGCAGCGATTATTAATCACCTGGCGAATTTTTAGGAGGCAACAAACTTTAAGAAATTAAATAGATAAATAATATATTTTTGAGGTGGTAGAGCCATGTGGCAGTTTCTTTTATAGGATAATGGTGACAAGTGAGCACACAGTTTATTATATCTCAGCTTATTACCTGATGGTAAGCGGTTGCTGTGGTCTATAGACATCTACATCTATTCTCGTTTGTGAATCAAAATACAGATGCCTTGTCAGCCGTGAGGATTAAGATGGAATGCCTCATTTCCAGTAAAAACAGGTCACTGGTTGTGTGTAGAGACACTCACCATACGAAACACAGCAGCATTAAGCTGCTATTTCAAGCTGGTATTCTGTAAGAGCGTGATCCTTCCCCTGTCGAGTCTAGTTTAAACTTACAACCTTATGAGTTTCATAAGGTTGTAAGTTAATTAGTTAATTATTAATGTTTATTAGGTCTCTGTTGTTATAAATAAATACACGAGATATGTATATCTTTTTATGTGAAGGTGTGTTACACTTTAACATGGAAGTAATTTTTGGACTGACTTCCCTGTTATTTGTATTGTGTGTACAGGTACTTATGATCAGTCTACTGTTTATTTGGCCAACTAACATACATTTTATCTTCTAGTCCCTATTATAAGTGGAGTATTTGGACTCTATTTTCAACCGACTTTAAAAAAAAAGGAGGTGCTCAACTTGACTGTATATTTTTAATGTGTGTTACATCAGAACTTTTTGCTAGGTGAACCGATTTTGATGATTTTTTTATTATTATTTGAAAGGTAATGCTTCTCACATGGTACAATATAAATTTGATCTGACCAGAAGTTTTTGAGTTATCGTTAATAATGTATATTTAATTGATGTATAATCGAAGATGAGTTCTCATCTTGGTGCGAATTACGGGCTGGAGTGCCTCAGGGTGGTGTGCTGTCTCCTTTACTTTTTGCTATATTCATTAATTCTATCTCTCAAAATATTACTTCTCTCTATCACATGTATGCAGACGATCTCTAAATGTACACTCAGTCAACTCTGTTAAATCTGCCTTCTGCTGTTGCCACCATCAACAATGACCTAGCGGCGATAAACCAGTGGAGTCAGCGTTATGGTCTAAAAATTAATCCGTTCAAGTCCCAGGCTATAGTTATTGGTGGTGGAGGGATGGTCTCCAGAGTTGACTGGAACAACCTACCCTCGGTGACACTAAATGACGTTGTCATACCCTACAGTAAATCTGTAAAAAATCTGGGAATATATCTAGATTCGACCTTGTCGTGGTCGCAGCAGTTAAAACAAGTGAGCAAAAAGGTGTTTGCTACTATGGGTTTACTTCGTCGTTTACGTTCTTTTCTCCCCATTCCCACTAAGATTATGTTAGCACAATCCTTACTTCTCTCTATTCTCGATTATGCGGACGCAAGTTATCTCGATTTAACTGAAGACCAACTGAACAAACTTGAGCGAATTCAAAATATTGCTATTAGGTTCATATTTGGTTTGCGTAAATATGATCATGTATCCGAATATCGTTTACAGCTCAAGTGGTTACCCATTCGCTTTCGCCGGAATCTGCAAACTGTATCTCTTTTGTACTGTGTGTTGTTCAATCCTTTGACTCCAAGCTACTTGAAGGAAAACTTTAAGTTTCTTGGTCATGATCGACCTGATAGAGTTCTTCGGTCAGCCGGCGAACTAATTCTAGAACCATGTTCATTTCAAACAAAATTTATGAAATATTCTTTTACGAGCCAAGCCATAAGGTTATGGAATGAACTTCCACTCCAAATTCAACGTGCTCAAACTTTGAAAAGATTCAAAAGTGACGTCAAGAAGCATTACCTAACACTTTGTGGTTATTGATAACCAATTCTAGCAATATTTATTATCTTTGTATATATATGTATGTGTATATATTTATATATATATATATATATATATACCTATTTATTAATATGTATGTTTATTTTATTATTATTTTTTATGTATTATTGTGGTATTTTAACAAAATATAGTTTAGTTTATTTAGATATTAGTATGTAAGTGTAACATAAAGCGCACCACCTCCTACTGTTCTTAATTCCAGTTTCTCTTTAGCCCAAAGGTTGTCTGGAAGAGATCGCTCTTTAGCGATAAGACCGCCTTATTGTACATACGTATATATTAAGTTTTCTCTGTAATGTATTTATTCGTTGTATATGTGTGGTGTACAATAAAGTATATACTTGATCTTTACTTGATGTTCTCATTTTATTTATATTGACGTAGGTTGTACAAAACTTTTAATTTTACCTCTTGTTTTTGTTGTATTTTGACAATACTAAGCATCTTATTTCCTTTTACATAGAAAACACAAGTACTTTATATTAGTTTAATTTATCCGGCATATTATCAACAACGAAATACATATTAGTTCTCAAGACTGACTATGCACTTACATCTATTTTTATGCATTTTTAAGTTACAGTAACAACAAAGATTCATGTGTTACACAATTATGACAACCAGTTTTTGACTAAATTATATAAACTACTCTTTTAATATGTACAGGTCTTAAATATTATAGAAATAAATATGAGTGTGAGTGAAACTTTTCATAATCAAGCTTTGTTTTTGTATGTAGCAAGATTTAAAATAGCCTTAAATCTGTATTCCTTCTCTTTGCTAATGCAACCAAATAATCTAGAGACATTTTTGAATAATTACCCTTAGTGCACACATAGGATAGAAACTATAAAGAAAACTTTAACATATATTTTTAACTGTGAACTAAGTAATCACAAGCTCATCTTAAGACAGAATGTCGTTAAAACTAGTTTCAAAATTAATAACAATGTCAATACAAATCAAAGAACACATGCTTAAGAATAAGCCTTATTGTTGTTAAAATGTTTGGTAATATACAATGATGGTGGTCATTGCATATGTGCGAGGTTGCCGTAATACACTTGTGCACTAACAAGAACACAGAAGAAATAATTCCATCTTCTTTGTGCTAGATGTTAAAAAATCTATTTGCTAAAATCCACATAGTAAAATTATTATGCAGATCTTAGCAAATTGTTTTTTTTATATCTTTAATGTAATGGACTTCTGCAAAGTAATGCATGATTCTATTATTTTTCTTAGTGCTTGGCGAGGATAGACTCAAGGGAGGGAGTACAGACCCTACAATCAATTTTCATTCTCTTGTGATAACATTAAGTTACCAAGAGAAGAGATTTACTGAGAAACTGTAATTCGCCCTTCATGTCCTTTCATAGCTATTACCATGCACAAAAAAATGTATATACTGTTTGAACCATATTCTCCATATAGACCTTAATACACATGATAAACTCTACAAAACATAGTCTATTAACAGCAGAACATAGGACAAAAGTATACTACAATATTATGAAGTGCTTCCTCGCCCCATTTGCTGCAAGAGGTAACTAATGAAAATAAAAGAAATTAAGGTAGATTATCCACTTCAAACATACCTGATGTAAGATTCAACACAATGATGGGGAATTGTAAGCCACAAAATAAAAAGGCTACCTGTAGGTGTGTATGTACGTAATCCATGACCTAATTAAATACAAAACAATAAAATAAAAAAAAAACCTTTAAAGTTTTAACTAGCGATATATCAATTTATATTAGTTTTACAACTTTGAAGAAATTAAATTTTACGATTGCCTTCAAATCTCCACCTAGTTACTCTCCAATATGCAGACGTGAACTACCTACACGATAATACGGTTAACAAAAGTAAAACGTAGAAATGATTATTTTCTTTAATGTTATGTGGAAATGAAGGTAATCTATTACCAAAAAAGTATTGGAAAAGTGAATGCACAAACCTGCTACGTTCAGCGCAGCGCGACGCCTCCAAGCAGTTATATCCACCTTCATTATGTTGATATATTCAACAAAACACACAAAAACTAATCACCAACACAAAATGATGGTACTAATATTTTAATACATATTGTAACTTGTAAGCGATAATTCTTAAGTAACACTAATTAAATTAATCGAAATCATACAAAACGCAACAGAATAATTGTTACTAAAATAAATTTCGAAAACAAACATTACCGGACAACGTCCATGATTGACTGAGTGAAAAATTGAAAATTAAAAAAAAGAATGACAAGCATCAAACAGTGTTTCCACTTTAATAGTTTCTGATTCCCGTGGCGATAAATTTATTAGGGGTGGACGTTGCGACTACGAAACGTTTACAAAGACCGTTTTGTGTTTTGCGATGATGAAACCGTTTTACGCCCTGGGTTCAAACAGTCTTTGTTGCACAAACCAGTCTTCGAATAAAGGCGGCTACTGACATGCCTGCCGTAGGGGCAATCTAGGGAGCACAGCGATCGGGGCAATATCGGAGCTGTCTCTACACACACACCTGCCGTTCAGTATGAGAGTGTACGTCTTGCTGGACGCACGCGTTGAGAATGGCGCCAGTTGTATCGAAATATCAATGAATCGGTATATATAGCCTTGGCTCTTTTTTATATAGAATAAGGGTGACAAATGAGCACAGTCCACCTGATGGTACGTGGACACTGTGGCCCATAGACACCCACATTTATCAATAAAACAACTAATTAATTAATAATTACAACCATAATATAGTGTTTATAAGCTGCAGCATAGCTCTTCCACGCTATTTTAAATGTGACTAATTTCACTCGTCATAATTTAATATAACCAATTTATTCTGTAATATAACTTAACTAACTAGTGCTTAGTAACTATAATTTAACTAGTGTTACAAATAGCCAGGATAGTTTTCTAATGATGAGTTGTAATAAATTTACGTATAACGTATTTTTGTTTAATTATTTAGTTAATGACATTTTATTTATATTCCAGAAATTTTAATACTATTGGAATATTTTCTTTCCCATACTAGCCCTTAAGATAAGTTAGGTAACAAATCCCAGTAATGTTACTTGTAAGTTACAACGTTCAAATAACGTTCTTTCTGCGGTTCTGACTTGTACTCATACGTGTGCTCCGCGCGAAAGCCGCAACGAACTGATTGAAATTGCACCAAATGCACTACACACGCGAAGGCGGCAGGGCCGACCTAGGGACCAAGGAAGGTCTTGCGCTCCTGAAGCCATGCCGCAGGGCTGACTTAAAAAATTCCCCCTGCTTGCCTACACATATTACAACTAAGGGTCATCCCCACTACTACACCCTAGATTGCCCCTGCGGCAGGCATGTCAGTAGCCGCCTTTACTTGGTGCGATTTTTTATTTTTCACCTATTAAAATACAGTCGTGAACGCAATGATTCAACTATCTATCTCACTCGTCACGTCGTCATCCTTAACGTTCGTTTTGGGTTCCGCCTTCGCATATAAATATAGACAAACAAAACAGTCCTTACCTAATTGTAAAAACTGCAACCATTTCACTCGACGAAAACGCAATTCTATACCATGTTGAATAAGTGTCGTCCTTTAAACCCTCTTTAAACCGGTTGCAACGAAGACCATTTTCTGCAACCGTTTTTGACGTCGGGAAATCGGTTGCGTTTCGTCCGTAAAAATTCGAGAACGACCCACCACTAAAATTTATTTGATACTAGCTGTTCCTCGCGACTGCGCCCGCGTGTTATTTGGGGTTTTAATTTTTTTGCGCGGAACCCTAATTCTTTTTATAAAATAAAGCTATCTGCTAGTGAAAATCCCGTTAAAATCGGACCAGCCGTTTCGGAGATTAGCCGGAACAAACAGACAGATAGACAGACAAAAACTTTAAAAATTGTATTTTTGTTATTAGTACCGTATATACTTTCATATACATTTAGTAAAAAGCTGTAATTTTGACATTACAAACAGACACTTCAATTTTATTTATTTGTATGAATAAAGTAGGTTATGTTTTCTCTTTACATATATGTAATATAACAATAAAATAATAAACTGTAATATATACACTCTCTAATAAAAAAAACTTTAAATAAAATACATTAAATTTATATATAACAAATCTAAACGGATATTTAATACATCATATTATATATTAATGATTCGGATTAATGAAGTTTGTGGGTAAAAGGAAATCTTAATATACCAAAAACTTCAGAAACTACAAGAATATATGATATACTAGCTGTTCCCCACGACTTTTCCCGCGTGGAATTTACTACTAGTTCATGGGTGTTACGGCCTACGGCTGCCCCTGCAAAAGTAGGCTATCCCGGGGCCCAAGCAGAAATTCTACGGGCAGACGCAGGTCGGGCCTCCAAAGTGGCCACGTGGAAATATCCTATCACAATAAAGGGGAAGGCTAGTTAACGGAAAGGTACTTACCCGCTTCGGGAGCGGAGACTATTCACCAGGATCTGCCCGGCTGATGAAAGTGTAGTGAGTGTAGGTGGTATTTGTGTGTGTCTGGGTGTAGGTGGCCTGGGCTAGATGACACGATGCTGTCCTGGAGGAGATATTCTCCTGTGGAGCCCCCGGAACAATTCCCTTCTTGAAAGCACTAGTTCGGTCTATTCACGTAATGGTACAGTCAAACAAATGAACTTCAAGTGAAATCACTATATAGTTTGCACAATTATTTTAAACAAAGTTAATAAATCCGTAGAAAACAACACGTGTTTCCGCCGACGACAGAGGTACTCGCTCGACTCCGTTTGTGACGTGACAAAAATTAAGTAAGAAACAAAAAAAGTCCGTTCCGATCGCAAAAATTTTACACTCAACCGCCGAGACGTGTCCAGTCAACCGGCCCGAAAAGAATTTCGGCGCGGGGGGATGTGAACTCGATACTGTGTGAAGCTATTAGCGAGTGATTATAACACAATTCTCAAAATATTTAATATTGAAAATATTTAATAATATTGGCCTAAACATAGGGTTTTAGGTTTTTTTGCGCGGAACTCTAATTATTTTTCTAAAATAAAAGTATCCAGATGATCCAGTATGGTAGATAGCTGATGTTATAAGGAGTAATTTATCCTTATAAGATCAGCTATCTGCTAGTGAAAATCCCGTCAAAATCGGTCCAGCCGGAACAAACAGACAGACAGACATAATTTTGAAAATTGTTTTTTGTTATTAATACCGAATATACTTTCATGTGCATTTAGTAAAAAGAAGATATTTTAACATTACATACATATACTTCAATTTTATTTATTTGTATATAGATATATTAAAGTTATGCCTGCCGCTACGTTGCGGATGGAGGTGCTAATGTTGTATCATATTATTTATAAAATTGGGCAAAATTACAATGTAGCACCTACGCCTCATATAATGATTTTCCCTTTCTTGCTCTTTCCCCTTTTCTTCTATCCAAGAGTAAATTTCCTTCAAACGAGGAATTTTATCTCAATATGGTAACACTAATGAAAAATTGAAAATTGACAAAAGCAACACAATGTGACCAACTGAATATTTTAATAGAATTAGTAAAATATACTACCTAGGCACTCAATTAAAAAATCCTCGATTGTGGAGCTATAGTGAATTTTTAATTCAATTGTATATTAAATCAAATAAATTTTTCCAAAATTTTGTAAATGTTTTTATCACCCAGTGATTCTGATTTTCCTAATGAAAAAGTAATTTGTGCGTTAACAAAATGATTGTTTTATTGAAAGTAGTGTACCGATAACGTAAGCCAAGATTACACTGTTTATCTTGGCCCAATCGCCGATTTCTTACAATAGGTAACGTAGTTTTTGAGTGTCGCCCAGATTTTGGACATGGCAACATTTGAGTGGAATGACATCAAAATAAAATGTTGCTATTTTTCGTAAAAATGGCAGCCTTCATGTCGTAAGCTTTTCTTTTTCCTCATGAAAAGTTTTAAATATCAATTTATGGATGAATTATAATGCCAATTGAGAAGTTCATGAGGGTTACCTGTTTTCTATAACGAGCATATAATACACAAGCGTTGAAAATTACTATGAGCGTCGAATTCGCAGTAAGTACTACCTACGTGGTTATATCTCTTTGTACATGTAGATTTTGCTAATATTAATTTTCTCCTTCATTAATCCCAGTGTTTCAGTGGCTTGTTCGTGGTTTAAAAACATAAGGATAATTATTATTTTTTCTTGTTTACAGGAGGTGTAGGTTACTGTGACTGTGCAAATGTTAAACGGATCGAACGAAAGTGAGAATATTAGTTCCACAGAAGCTAAAGGAAATAAAAGTAATATGAGCGCCGGAAGTGCGACGCTAGAGCATGAGCTGGCTAGCACACGGCGTCTGCTATGGGGCGAGCATGTAAAAGAAGATGTATTTCGGCGCTGGTCACAAGGATTCCAGTTCAGCACCGACGAGCCTAGCGCTCTCATCCAACTGGAAGGCGGCCCATGTGCAGCTATCGCGCCCGTTCAAGGTTTTCTTCTCAAGATTCTTTTGTCTGAGACACCAGGACATAGTTTTCAGGACTTGACATCTGAAAAGTGCAATTCTTTGCTTGTTAGGGCTGTGTGTACAATAATAAGCCAGTGCCTAGTTTCTAAGTACAATGTGGCTGTGTACCGTAAGAATGATACAGAAGCAAACACCAGCGCTGGCAATAATGTAAGTGTAGAAGAACAATCTTGTGATGCAATTGACCATTTTCACAGAAGGATTGAAGTTCACTCGTTTCAAACATTATCGGAAGTTGAAGCTTTCTACACAAGGAACATACGCATTTTGAAGGACAAATATGGTGTCCTGCTACTGTTGTACAGTGTCATTCTTAGTAAGGGGGTTAGTACAGTAGAAGCAGAACTGGCCGAATTATCTGATCCCTTGATACACTCAACATATGGGTATGGCTCTCAAGGTCTCATTAATCTTATGTTGACTGGCCGAGCAGTGGCACATGTCTGGGACCATGAACAAGTTGTCGGGGGATTGCGACTGAGAGGCATTGAAAGACAGAATGATATAGGTTTCCTTACTATAATGGAGCATATGCAATATTGCACAGTTGGCTCCTTTTATAAAAATCCTAAGCATCCTGTATGGGTTTTGGCATCTGAAACGCACTTGACCGTGCTTTTCTCATTGGAGCGACGGCTGGCAGCACCGGAGACTGCTGGTGAATCAGCTGAACGTATCTTCCGTTCTTTTGATCCTGAGGGTAATAATTTTATACCGTCTGCTGCACTTCAAGATGTGTTGTGCGCTGCAGATCTTGTGAGTGAACCTGAATATGTAGAATTAATGAGAAGAAAACTGGACTCCGAGAACCTGGGTATCATTCTATTAAGTGCATTTATGGATGAATTTTTTCCGGGATGTGAACGTGGTGCTCCTGATACTTTTACTTTGCACCATTATAATGGTTTGCTTCGCAGTAGCCCTGGTGGTCGTGTTGTTTACCGTACTGGTCGCGCAGCTCTGCTTGAGTGTCCAATGCGAGCTGCTACCACAGACCCCATGCTTACATGTCTTCAGACCAAATGGCCCAGCATTGATGTTGTTTGGGATGATGGTCAATCACCCTCCCTAAATTAGTGTGATCTGCTTGTACTAACCACGCTCGGAACTGATGTTGTGAGACCGTGAGGAGAGTTGAAATGTAACTTTTGTTAAGTTGCAGGAAATTCCATTACATTATTGTATTAACTTATATATAGAAGTTATATTGGATAATATTTTGTGGCCCATGCATAAACCTCGCACTATTATGGGCGGTTATTATACATCAAATGCATGACTTTTAAAACAACATAATATAACGAAAAGCAATGTCCTCATTAGATATTTATGGTGATAACTGAATTGAATAAATTTGAGTGACAGTGATTCGTCTTTTGTAAAACACTGATTGGACAAACAATGCTTTAAGCAAAGGAAAATTTTATTACAGTGTAAAATGTGATTTTACAAAACTACATGCTTCAAATTATATTAAATTTTAACTCTTTTTTATTTACTTGAAGTAGTCTGGTTTTGTAATATTTTTTGTAGCTCTATTGAAATAAGTACTGGGTCATGTTCCAAATACAAATCGATTTCTGTATTTTTGGGGGGTAATGCCAATAAATTAATATGCAGTTAATTTACTACAAGACTTACATTAATGGATCCTATAGCCTTGTTCTTGTACCTCAGTACATGTGAATGCCTCCCAACATTAATTACAATATTTTAATAATGTTAAGATTTGTTATTAAACAAAATTGTCATCCACCTGGAATCTACTGTTGATTATCCTAAGCACTTAGGGCCTAAATTATGGTAAAGGTCATAATCTTCCTTGGCTGTCAACAAATGACTTAAATTGAATATACAATTTAGTGGCTAAAGGATTTATGCTTTTTATTTTAAGTTACAACTTTTAATTTTAAATTGTTTTATAAAACATACACACAACAAACACACACACATACACAACAATTTGCTTGTAAATTTTTACTATCAGTATATATTTTGATCACACATGTTTGTGTTAATAGTTAAGGGATTAAATAATTGCTTCTAACAAATCATCAACAACAAAACGTCTTAAAATACATCTAATCCTGGCAATCAAGTTATTTGACTCATTGAACAGATTGCAACATGGTTTTATTTCTATTAGCTCTACTTCTCTTAGTTCTTATTTAAAATGGCTGTGCATGATGTCACATAATAAACAAGAAAGTGAATAATTTCCGTTGCTTATAAATAATTGAATGTGCATTTAAATTATTGCGAGTTTTATTTCCTCACAGTCGGCAATGCGAAATGGTTATACTGCAACTAATCAATAGCTGTTACTGTTTAACCGAAAAATGGTTTAATAATTCACACATTGAATAATTATCAAAATTAAGGCCTTAAGTAATAGCTTATGTATGTTCCAGTACAGGCCTCTTCTCACAGCTGGGAGGGTTTAAGGCAAGAAGGACTCTGCCGCCTTGCCCCAATGTGTGTTGGAAGTATTTACTAGAACTTTAAATATTTCTAAATAGTCAAGTCTAAGAACTGTTTTACTTCCCAATTAAACTTCGACAACTCATGGCTCAGTGGTTTACCAATGAGTTACAGCACCAGGGAATGAGTATTTGTATAGCCTACAAATAATAGTTAGTTAGCCGAGTCTGGACATCCTTGTGCAATTTATGTATGTCAAATAGGGTGGAGACCCTACAGGAGAATGTATGTTTTTTAAAGAAAAAACTTTTTTTTTAATTTTATGTAATAAGGGTGAAGGGTGACAAACGAACAATCCACCTGATGATAAGTGGATGCTGTGGTCCATAGACACCTACATATGTCCTCGATTATGAGTTAAAATGTAAAGTGTTGTCGTTACTGATGCTTAAGATGGAATGCCTTGTTACCAGTAATAAGTTTCCTGTTTGTTCCGTACCCGAAGGGTAACCAACGGGACCCTATTACTAAGCCTCTGCTGTCCATCCATCCATCCGTTTGTCTATCAGCGGGCTGTATCTCATGACCCTTAATAGAAGACAGTTGAAATTTTCACAGAATGTGTATTTCTTCTTTACCACTATAACAATAAATAAAATAAGTTAAAAATTAAAGGGGGCTCCTCTGCTAGAAACGTGTTTTACGGTATGGAACCCTTCACGCGCGAGTCTGCCTCGCACTTGGTCGATTATTTATACTCACTATAGGAAACTGCATCATTATGCGGGTATTTTAGCAGCTATTAAGACTTAAACACATCTACCATGTTGCATTTAGCATTTTAAATAGTACAAAACTTATTTGTGCCGGTGGAGATCCAACTCTATTTGCTCATATACTATAAAATTGAGGCAATTACCCTCTGAGCCTCTATTTTTCTGTAATAAGGATATATTATCTCTAGACTGGCGGAAAACAGCGTGCTAAACGCCTGGGATTGTGATCCTCAACCCACCAGCAGAATGTGGTGATTAAGAGAAATTCTCTCTATTATGGAAAAGCCTCATGTCCAACAATGTACAACTTTACAGGCTGACAAGGAAAACTTACACAAGTGAGAGGTCTGTGCAAAGTAGTTTATTCCTGATACCATCATGGTCCTCTGCTCCTCTGATAGTATGTATAGTGGAAGATGATGGTAACTAAGCCTTTTTATAAAACTGTAGTGATAACCAAACTGACAGCCACCTGATGGCAAGTGGCTGCTGCAGTCCATGGACACCTGCAGATAACCGTCGAAAGAAATCCCTGAAAATATAAAAGGTCTCTCTATCAGTGGCGTAGCTACCCAGGAGCTAGGTGGCCAGTGCCCCATGGGCCCCTCGGCCTCCAAGAATGACACTCGAAAAATGATGTAATCTCCTAGTTATATAAAGAATTTTCGAGTTTTAACTTTTGGCTCGTGACCGCAAACGGCTCAAACTATAATCATTAAGATTACTCCCACTTCCAGAACATAAATATAACATTGTTAAAAATAATTGTCTGCTTCGTTTTATTGTCTTTTTTATATAGAAGAGGGGAACAAACGAGCAAACGGCTCACCTGATAGCAAGTGTCGACCACCGCCTAGTAACAAATACAACAGCAGGGGAATTGTAGGCGCGTTGCCGGCTTTTTAAAAAGAGTACGTTACTTGAAGCTTCGAAAAAAATCGCCGGTGATAAACGATTCCATAAAGAAGTCGTACGAGGAAGAAAATTCCTAGTAAATCGGACAATAGTGGACCGCCAAACATCCCGATTATGTGGATTTGTGAAATTAATCCGAATAATTCCTCTGAACACTCCCCGTGGTAAATGAGATAGAAAATGCAAAGGGATGCTACATATCTTCGTCTCGTCTTTCGTCTTCGTCGATCGTTGACGATTCGAGCCGCTCTGCTGGATGCGGTCAAGTGGAGCTGGTACTAGGGAGCCCCGGCCAAGGGATGAGAATAGTACTCCATGTTAGGCCACACTTGCCCCTTGTAAGCAGTGTGCCGGCATAAAATAATGTCCCGCTCTGCTGAGCACGCCAAGCTTTTTAGAGGTCAATTCAGCCTGCCCTTCCAAGTGATCACCAACGTTATACGATATGTCATTTTTTTATTTATATAGAAAAAAATTCGATATGTCAACGCTGAAGATTCCGATACTGGTTGAGGTTACAAGGGGAGTGCCTTGAAATTGAGGAGTTACGACAAAGGGGTTCCTTTTAGTGGTAAAAGCGCAAATTTGTGTTTTCTTGGCATTGAACTTAATTAGATTTAGTCGTCCCAATCCGAGACCTTATCTGGCAAAGACTCGACTTTAGAAACAAGTTTGTTTCAGTACTCTACGACGTTTTCGAGAAATATAGGCACAGTGTATAAAATAAACCCAGTGCACGTTACTGGCTTGGAACATGTTATTGATAAGCAGACGAAACAGCGTAGGTAATAGCACGTAGCCTTGTGGAAAAACAGCATGAATTAGTTTTGTAAATGGAGCATGCATCTTCTACTACGACTTTGTTGCTCCAATCTGCAAGAAAACTGCTGATCTAGTTGCACAAATTCTCGGGAAGCCCATAGGAAGGGAGCTACCAGGCGAAGTAAACTTCTACCTCACGCTGGTTATCTGCAAGTTCGTGGTACCTCCTTGGTTCGGGCCGGTCCACCCATACATTTTAGCTCTTTATTTCATGTCTTACCAGGTCGTCACTCCATCTAGTCTTGCCCACCCGTGCAACGGCAAAAGCTGCCGTGTGACTCTTCCACTGTTATGTTGTCTGCTTATATTATTAACTGTACCTAATCTACGTCGTCATTATTTATGCGTTACACATAATACTTACTACGAGGGTGCGTTTTTAAGTTCGCGGAATGGGGGGTCATTCATCATCATCATCATTACAGCCCTTCACAAGTCCACTGCTGAACATAGGCCTTCCCCAAAGAATGCCACAAAGCACGGTCCTGAGCCACCTGCATCCATCGACTTCCTGCATATCTTACCAGGTCGTCACTCCATCTAGTGGGGGGACGCGCTACACTTCGCCTGCCGGTACGAGACTGCCACTCGAGAACCTTTTTTCCCCATCGGTTGTCGGTTCTTCGAGCTATATGGCCGGCCCATTGCCACTTCAGCTTACTAATCCGTTGGGCTATGTCGGTCACTCTGGTTCTACTGCGGATATCCTCATTTCTGAGTTTATCACGCAGAGAAACTCCGAGCATAGCCCTCTCCATAGCTCGCTGAGCGACCTTGAGCTTCCTCATCCAGCCAGCAGTGAAGGACCACGTCTCAGTTCCGTATGTCATCACTGGCAACACGCACTGGGTGTACAGTCTCGTTTTCAAGTTTTGAGGTATACGTGACGAGAAGATGTGCCGTAATTTCCCGAACGCTGCCCAACCGAGTTGAATCCGTCGATTGACCTCTCGGTCGAAGTTGGACTTACCTAGTCGGACTATTTGTCCCAGGTAAACATACTCGTCAACAACTTCGAGCTTAGTGTTCCCAACAACTACCGGCATAGGTGTGACATGGACATTAAACATGATCTTTGTTTTGTCCATGTTCATCTTAAGACCTATTCGTTGGGAAACACTATTGAGGTCATTGAGCATAGTG